TCTATAAGAGAAATAACACCTGCTAATAATTATACCTGAACTTCCTCAGAGTCATCAAAAAATGAAACCAGTAACAGCAACTAAATATTGGTAAAAAGGAAACCGTCACATTTTCTTTTTTAGGTGGCTGTGGCTAAGAATCAGAAATGTTGATGGCTTACAGCCTTTATTTGCCCATTTTGTGTCTTCAGAACTCCTGGCTGACTCAGAATATTTCGTTTTATAAAAGAAAAAAAAAGGTTTTTGTTTTTTAGTGTACATGATATTCATTTTTTTTATTGGGACTAGTTTCATAGTCTAATATTAATTGTAGTAACCGCTGCATTCTAGTGTGAATAAATTTTCAATGTTGTGCTCCAAGCACAGCGGACTAGAAAACAGCCAATCAGAAAGAGAGAAGGCGGGACCTAAGGCAGAACAGCCAATGAGAGTGGAGTTAAACAGCGCAGCACAGTTCAATGCGCTGCTAGGTGAAAGGGACAGGAGAGACCAGGCAGAGGAGCTGCGAGAGGAAAAGAGCCACTGCTGTAAATTATAAACATGTTGCTCACATCCAATTATTGGTCAGGACAATTAGGACGGTTCAAAACTTTGGTAGGGACATGTCCCTATGGTCCCTATGCAAACCTACGCCCATGATACAAACCCTTGTTGATCCCTGGAGAACCAGCGTACCAGATTAGCGCCTTACAAGGAGTTTTCAATCATTTTGCTACATTTTAACCCAGCGTCTTTTACTCATGCTCAACTCGTGGTCTTGTCTTACTTTTTATTATTGTTTTAACCTGGACACAAACCAAACATTTATCACAAGATCAGCCCGATCAGAATAAAATAAATTGATTAACACACTTACCATCACTCAGCGTAGCTCCCCATCAGTTGCCACAGGTTGTAAAAAACGAACTTCCACTTCTTCTTCTTCTTCTGTTTTAAAAGTGATGCGCTCTTCTTCTTTTTTGTGTTTTAATGGCAGCTAACATCCAAAAGGATAATTTACCGCCCTTCTAGTGGTGCGCTCTGTTCCTTATCTTTATGTTATCAGCAGCGCAACCAGCTACCGTAATACCTATTTTTGCGCGCAACAGCTCTACCGTAATAACAGTCTACACGCAACATTTTTCGCCTCGGTAAAATCGGGGACATTTCCGGGGACAGCTTTAGCCGGGGACAGGTGGTCCAAAACGGGGACAGTCCCCGGAAATCGGGGACGTCTGGTCACCCTAAACTAACAGCAATCAAGCTTTGTGCATCCCAATGTCTAAATGTACAACTTAACCTTCATGAAGATGAAGCAGGGGACCACACCTAGTGCCATGCCAGTCAGCTAAGGACAGAGACTACAGTTCCCTCAACCTTACCAAAATCAGACAAACACAGGTTTAGGGAGAGGTCTCCTCCCCTCCAAATGCCTTTTTTACTATATTTTCAATGTACCCTGATGTTGTAAAGAGGCACCATATTTCATTTAATTGGACACCTTTGAGAAGAGGTGGAATGGTAGATTGGCATTATGGATGTGCTAAAACAAATATCAGCATCATTGTGATGCTATCCCATCAATTCGGACCAATTGAGCAATAGGAGTATTTATGAAAGTGACTCTAAAGTGTATGTGAAATAGAAAATGAATCCTCACTATACAGTACTTGATTATTACAGTTGTCTGAAATATCTAAGCGAATAGTTCAAATGTATATAAAGAAAAACAAGGAAAACTTGTATGACTTTTAAAAGGATTAATGAGAGTTAATATACTACTGAATATACTACATGCCAGATGCACTGGTTTCTTCCTGAAATCTGTTTGTTTTCATGTCTTTTTGTATTGACACTAACTAAAAAATAACTTTGAAAGCATTTTGAAAAACAATAAATGTTAAGTGGGTAAACTTTGGAATGATACTGGATGAAACTGGAAATAATACCACAACAATAATAGATAAGGTCCTTTACCCAGTTTTTGGATTATAAAATTTTAGGCTTACTTAATCTTTTCAAGTAAAATCAGGAACCCCAGGAACAAAAAAAAAACAAGAACAAAAAACTGAATTCGAAACTGTAAGCCACCTTCAGGGAGAGCTGAACACCTTTTTAATTTAACCCAGAAGTAGCTTGTGGCACTGACCGATTTCCACCTTTCAGTCCTGAATGTTTCCTTTTCTTTGTCATCTTGCCACCTCCCCTCCTCCTCCTTCTCTTTGTTGCACCACAAGAGTCTAATCCCCCTAACCAGCACCATATGTCCTAAAAGGCTGCTGGAAAACTCTGGAATCTACTTTTGCCTCTTTACCAATGGCATCGACATTAAAACAGTTTGCTGTGTCAAATTAGATGCCTTACTCTTACACTACATAGTAGTGTAAGAGTAAGGCAAATGTTTTTTGAGTCCTGACCCCAGAATACAGGCCTAAAGCTGAATGCCAGAGGATCCTTTTGATCCTCAGCTTCACATGCTTGAGAACATTTAATTCCTTAGATATGATGATAGATCAGTGGTTTATTCTTGAGGGACAAGTTTTCTTTTGTGTTTTCTGTAGACTTAAAACAGACAGAAACAATTAACTTTAAGAATGCCTATATCAATCTAAAGTCTTATCTGGCTAATAGGCTTAACATAGTAGCAAGCAATCAGTGTGTGACTAAAAAAACGGAGCTTCTGACATTGTAAATGTACTGTGTCGTATCTTTTTTTTTAATTTTTGCAACAACAGCTGGTTTGTGCCGCTCTCCTGCTGATTTACAGCAAGGGAGCCTGCTTCCAGATGAAGACTTTATCCCTTGTTAAGAGTACATCAGTGTCATGCAGCGTATTTACTCATGAAACGCTGTGCTTTATTTAAAGAGTCACAGTGAGAAGTGATTATTTCTGCGCAATGCGCTGCAAGAGGAAATTTTGGAGAGGAACTCCAGCTGCTGCTTTCACAAACAGCTGTAAAAGCACTTCAAACTCATGACACAACACCTGGGACCTTCCAGTTTAAATTTTTACCCTCATGACTCACAAACATGTTGCTACCATTTGCAGCTACTGTATTAAGGCAGGTAGAGATGGGTGCCAGCAAAACATTTGGGAACAAAAAAAAAAGAAAAACGTTGAAGGGTCATTGTTGAGTTTAACAAAAGGTCAGAGGTAATGTACTGGGAGATAAAAAGGCACTTTCTCAGCGATCACTTCCCGTTCCTGCCTTTGTAAATATCCGACAGCAGCAGGTAATTTTCCACAATTGTTCTCCTTTAATTTTTTCCAGAGCTTGCTTTGACCTTTTCAGTTTAGCTTTTGTGAGGAGACTTTAATCAACAGCTTTATTAGCTGAGTACAGCAAGCAGCTTCCACCTGCTGTCAGCCAGATAGTAGCTTGTGCTATAAGTTCGGGTTCGAGAGAGAAAACAATTTTACCAGTTGCCATAAAACGTATCTTTAACAGAAACTAAGGCCACAGAAACGTCTTCCTACAGATAAAATTTTAATTGAAACGTTTATCGAAGCCATGCGCTGGAAGTATGAAAACTTTTAAAAACCATAAAGAGCACTTTTTTTTTTTTTTTTTTTTTGTGCCAAACTTTCTTTTTCAGCTTTTCTGTATAAAGTAGAGATGTTCTGATCAGGACTTTTATTCTCTTATACAGACCCAAGTTATAAAAACAGGGATACAAAAACAGAGTAGCAGCCTGTTACAAAAATAAAAGAAAATAAACTTTAAATATCTCACCATTACCGCGTAAAAGTGTGAATATTTTATTTGCAATTACTTAACATAAAATTCCGTTATAATATTGCTTCTTTAAGCAATTTTTTTTTTTTTTAACTAGGGTTTCAGCATTTTTCACTTACATTTTTTGGAAAATATTAAGAACATCTTTAAAATCACAGGTTTGGTTGCAAAACCAAAGGGCTGTATACGAACTGCAGTGTATACCTACAGAAGATACATATTTTCCTGGGTGCAGGGGTTTCCAAAGCCACTCCTCGACAGCCGTTGTCCTGCAAGTCTTAAGCCGTGCATACGCTGTACGATTTTTCGCCTTTTTCTAACCAATTCACAGGTCATGCGAAAATCTTTTGGAACAGGCTGAGTTTCATTCTCATTGTGCGTCTTTTGTTGTGTAGTATACAGGAGCTAACGAGGGGCAATCAGTCTCTTTCGACAACCTCCATCAAACATGTTTGAAATTCAGTTGGGCGACGCAAGGCGTTCATGAGCATATTCTGGTGTTGAAGCAGTGCTAAGAGCGCCAACGAGCCGATTTACCTTAACCACATGCACTGCCCATCTGCAAAAACTGAAGTATTCTTTCAGATTGACAAGTCCAACCAGCGGCATCTCTCAGTGCTGAGTCCAACGTGTGGCTTTAGAGCGTTGGGCCATACAGTGTAAGAGCATACATCGTGAGCCGAGATCTTGTAAACCCTGTGAATGTATATATTTCTTTGTTTTTTTTTTTGTTTTTTTTTGCAGCTCTAGTGGCTCGATCTTGGAAAGACAAGAAAGGGGGTATAAGACAGAGGGAGAGACATGCGGCAAAGGACCACAGGCTGGATTCGAACATGGGTCGTGCATGCTAACGACTGCTCTACCGAAACATGCCCTTCATCGTACAGTTTTAGCTGTAGCTGCATACAACCATTCAAAATATCATACAGTGTATGCCCGGCCCTAGATAATTTCCAGCTTCAGCACACCTGATTTCCTTTAATGGATAATTAATCGATTTTGCTGAATTGCAAGCATTTGAATCAGTTGCGTTAAAATAAAGAAACTCTGTACAACCTACACGACATGGAGGACTGAGTTTGACAACCCCACCCTTTAAGGAAAGTACCCATGTAATACTGAGATTTGAATCAAAATTTTTATGGAAGACAGCTGTCCGAAGATATTCAGCAGTTTCATGACAAGAATTACCGATTAGGACCTCCCTCATGTTACTATGTCAAGATAAGCTGCTGTACCAGTCGATTAACAAAATGTTTAACACAAGCTAGCACAAGTTCTCACCATGAGTCCTGTTTCTCCCGGATGGCCTGGATCACCCTAAAAAAGAAAAAAAAAGAAAAACATCAATGAAATAGCAGAAACATAAACATGATTTAAGTTTGATTCTATGTAATAAATTACAATTGCTTATTAGTTTAAGTAACAGGGTGGAGCGGCTGTATTTTACTGGATCAAATGTTTTCCTCCTGTCTTTGCCTGAAAACTTGTTCTCTTTTCTATTTTTAATTTTAAACTTTCTTTAGATTTTGGTAGAAAAATAAGAAATACTTAAAATTTTAATATTGCATTTAAAGCACTCATCTTTCCTCAAAGTTTTTCTAAACAGTGCAAATAAAAAGAAAGAAAAAATACTTGGAAAGAGAAGTGTAACTTCTTGGAAAAAGTTTTACAAGTTTAGCAACTTCTACAGGAAGAACTGAAAACAATCACCATAAAAAGTTGGAAATAACCACATAAACAATTCTTAATATATTTGAGCTCCTGCTGAGATCCCTGCCAACACAATAAAGATCAGCTGGAACATGCAGGTTTTATGGCTGAAAATAACCGACCCTTTTTTCTGTTTCTTCTTTCTCTCCAAGTGCACATAAACCAGCAAAAAGCCAGTGGCAGGCATCAAGAAATGAAATATATTATATTGAAAACAAGAACATTTCAGCCAACTTAAATATAGAATGTATAACAATACAGCTATTCCCCCTGGGGGATTTATTTTTGTCTATAAATATTTGGGTATAAGGCCAAGGAGTCCTTTCAGTCCTTATTAAATAGGCTTCCACTGGCAGTTTCCATTTGAGTGATAGTTAAAGTTGAATCAAATGTGACTACATGGTTCAATCTAAGGAGTAAAAAAATTTGATTTTTTCTAATGCAAGTCACCAGGATTTCGTCCACAAACTTTTGGTGATTCAATGAGCCTCTCATAGATCTTTGCTTTTTCCTTTAGTACTGCTCCAACCATATCTTTACACTTCTCTGTTCATGTCTAAGATTAATGATGTCTCCATTTCTTAGTACCACCATTCATCTTAAAATAGCATAAATAATGAGCTAGTTTGGAGTTTGTTTCAAAAAGAAAATGCTTACCAGAAATGCTTCTTAAGAAGGTTTATACAAATAGGCTATAGCTTATAATTGCGATTGCAAAATCCTATACTGAATAAAAGAAATCTATAATTTTAGTACATTTATCTAGCCAAGAAAAATCCAAAATGCTATAAAATATTTGTTTAAAAAAACAAACAAAACATTGCAATTACACTAATTGTACAACTTAATATATGCTATAAAATAAAAATTATATTTTTTCTAAATGGGAAAGACAACAAAACCTTTAATTCAAGTATGATGTGTGTTGATTTTCATAAGTCAGAGAATGGCCACAAAATGATAGCTGCTTTTCTCGACCTGCTTATATTTACTCAGACCAATATTTAAAACATGTTCAATCTGGAACTCTGATCAACTAAGCTAGGTGAACAATTAAGTTCATCTTATCTTATAGAAAAACTGTTGTAGATCTGCAATAAAGAATAGCTAAGAAAAAAGTCAAATACCCTCTTTAGGTATCTTAATACTGTTACTAATACTTGTTTCAGATGCCTTCCAGGAAAGAGTCTTCCCATGAAAACATGGATACATTTATTTGCTCATCTCTGGCTGAACTTAAACCAAGTCATTTGATTAGATGAGAGGAAGACTGCACTAATATACATTCAAACACATGGTTCTGGATAAAAAAGAAGAAAAAGTGAAAGAGCACCTCTCTCCACCATTAATGAATGTGCGGTCTATGTGATGCTGTTGTCTGTTTCAAAGGCCATGTGAACTTTTTAAGACTAGAGGGCTTTTAGTGAGGCTGGACAGAACCATTATTTCTTCCCTACCTTTAAATTAAAAAGTATTTACAGAGCTTAAACATAGGCATAAAGGGTGCAATAGCATTCAATGAAATTGAGAGGTTTAGAGTAAATGGAAGTCAGAAATGCAGCCTAAACTTTTGCTTTGTTAAGATTTATGCAACTTCTCCACTTATCAAAAACTGATACTCACTGGTAGACCTGGCAAACCTCTGGGTCCATCCTTTCCAGTGTCTCCTGGAGGACCTCTAGGTCCAGGAGGGCCAGGTGGGCCAGGAGGGCCGGGTGGTCCTGCCTGGCCTTGATCTCCCTGTATGACAAAAATAACACATTTCCTCATCAGTTCTATGTGATATTGTTGGATTCTACGAAGACAGAAGCAGCTAAAGTTAAATAATGGTAAAGGAAGTTGTGTAATGATCTTGTGGGTGGCTATGGCCTACCCCCATTCATAACTAGAAGGAAAGATTGCATTTTGGAGCTAGTATAAAACAATGAAAAAGAGCTCTAATGGAATGAGTCATAATTAAAGTATTATTTCTTTAAGATGCATGCAATCCTAAGAGAACTATGCATTTAGCACGGTCTGATAAAGGTCAGATTTGTCAGTAAAGGGTTTAAATAATCAGGGGAGAAACACTAAAAATGTGTGGTCCATTATGGTACCGGATTACGAGAAACTCTGAAAAAATATCCAGCAATTTAACTTGCAGAACATAATGAATTTTACCAATGCCAAGACTGATTCATTTCCTCTTTACCAAGCATCTATAAGACCATTTTCTTCTTTCATTTTGCATTAACATAAGAGAGCTTAAGGCTGCGTATGACAGCACCTATAGGCTTGCATGCTTTGGACAGAGGGAAATGATTTGGTAACACTTGGAACCGTGGACAAAGAGATGAAATAGAGGACACACCCACTACCTTAATGAGCCGACGCTTTATGAGCTGCTGGTCAGCGGAAAGAAAGCCATGATTGATCTTTGGGAAGACCATCTGAACAGGTGTGTGAGGTCAAGAAGTCGGAGTTCAGAGGTGAGAGAAGGTTGAAGAAGGAGAAGGTCCCAGAAGAAGAAGCAGCAGGAGGAGAAGGAGAAGGGGAAGCCAAATGCAAAGAGAAACAGATTTTGTTAGAGAGACCCATGTTCACGAAACCCCCCAAAACAGTGCCTTTACAGAAGGAGGGAAATCCACACTTTTCCAACACTAAGTTGACTTGTTTCGGAAGTCTGGGCTTAGATTTTGGAGCTAGTCTATAATTACCAGTTTTGGGGTGTGAAGTGGGTTCACAGCCCCCCCCTTGGAAACATGCGAATCACTCCTTTTCTGTAAAAGCACCACCATCATCATTGTGCCTGCTGCCAAGTCAAACCCTGTTAGCTGCACACACTGAAACCAGCATGGGTCAACCTTCTGGGTTGAGGTTCATTTCATACCTAATGTCTGTCAATGTATGTATTATTACACTTGTGCCCATTGGCATTGCCATCAGCGAAACATTTATGGAGGCCAAATTGGTGGTTTGAAGGTTGTGTGGTGAACCAAGGGCATGGGCTATAAAAAACATTTAGCCACTTTTGGTCATAACTGAGTATTCCCTTCAGAGTTCCTTCCATTCATTTCAATGTCAATAGACATGAGCCAAACCATGTTTTGGTTTCAGGATACAGTCTTGTTCCAATTAACTACATATTACTAGGCTGTAAAAGGCCACCTTTGCTCTCAGTGGAAGACCTGCTATGTAAAACAGAACAGAAATGTATTGAGAGCCTGGTAGCAAAAGTCGGTCATGAAGGAAAACAATTGATGGGAGTTTCTGGTGAATACTCAATCAAACTTTAAGGAAATGGCCAGTGTGTGCTTCATAAGAGGTCAGACCAAGCAGCTCGGCAGCACACCCACAGACAAACCTTGACAGTCAGGATCTGATTGCTGTGCAAAGCAGCCAGCGTAGGCAGACCAGGCAATCCCTAAAGGGACAAACAGCAGAACATGGCACAACACACACATGACATTCAACACTGGGTGAACAGAAACAGCTGAAGCACGAAGAAGACAACAATCTGGCTTGTATTCCTAGAATTATCGATGACAATCAGTGGAATGTGGGGTTTAGGAAAAACTTGTACATTAATGTGAAAAGGCAATTAGGAAAGTCTTTAGGACCTGTGAGCTTTTACATTGATAGGCAATAGGGAGAAATCTGCAGTAAGTGCCCGTCCACACACTTGTCTTCATATAGCATAAATATAGACGCTTTTTTATCAGACTCCTGCTTTAATGCTCGGCTAGATTGTTGCTGCTCCTTCTTGTTAAATTTAGACTTATTGTTATTCAAGTAACCATAAATCAAAACAAAAATAAGAGAGCGGTTCAGTTGATTTTTCTAGGTCTCTGTCTCGGCATCATCCCCGGTCGCACCACGTTCTTTTGATGCAATTTGTTGTTAGAAGTCTTAGAAGAAGTTCATATTGTGAAAAGGTGGAGAGATTTGTGAATTACAATGCCGGACATGCTGGAAAATCCGTAAAATGATTCAGCTGACTTCAAATAGGAGATGACACGGTCTGCTCATGCACTCTTTGTTATTAGAGAACCGAGCCACAACTGAACCATGCCCAGCCCTACTGTTGAACTAGTAATAGATTTAGCCCAGTTCGGTTATGTCTGGCATGGTCCATTTACACTCAGCAGTTATCTCGGTTATCGTGCTTGGATCATTCTCAGCACGGTTTAAAAAGGCTAGTGTAAATTGGGCTCTAGTTTATATGGAGCAATAGGGACTCGATTCCATGTTAATTTAACCCAATGGAAGACATTTGGAAATGTATTTTTGCTATTGGTACCAGATGGCAAAATTCTAAATTTTGTCTTTGTTATTTAATTTATTTATCTATTTCTCTATAAACCTGTCTGTCTGTAGAGCTATGTATTAACATATTCCTGAATTTTGTCCAGATTTAATTATTCATTATTATGGACAAACCTAACATTTTTGCATGTTAATGTATTATGGAAACATAACTGCCAATCATCCCAAACTATGGTTGATTTCAAAAATATACGTTGTAAAACTTTTTCTTTCTGTGAAGCACTTTGGTCTTTCTGGTGTTGTTATAAAGTGTAATATAAATAAACTTTGATTTGATTTTATCTGGATTTGATCAAACTACTTTTATCCCAATTCTAGTGGCACTGCACAGAGTGCACCATTCCAATTTCATAATGAATATATATATATTCTCTTGGTGATCTTATGCTGCAGGTTAGGGCAGACCACAAATACTCACCACCACTGAAAAGATGAAAGTATTTCTTAAAAGATTGGCAGACGCTCATAAACATGCCCTGTGAAAGATCAATCTTCATCTGCAGTCAAGCTCAAGATAAAAATCTGGCTTATCCAAATATGGGTTTTGTGCCATCCCTCTGGTTTTCCAAAGATAATTCAAAAAGCATGGCTCATTAGGAATACGGCTTTCAAGGCAAGCTGTTTTGATTCATGCCTGCAGCAGAAATGAGCAGTGGATACAATAGCCTTGCTGTGTACGACTGGAATCGAAACACAAGTATTTCTCAAGTTATTTACGACCTCAAACATTTTTCAAGACAAAGAAGGGGAAAAACAAGAACTGGATTATGGTCGGGGGAACAGACAATGCACTTACTCCAGTGTATGGTATATGCAAGATGATACATGTACTTTTCCAATCATTTGGAGCCATATGCAAGCAGAACATTATGGAGGAAAGTTGTGGGCAGGTCAAGAAAATGTTGACAACCTTGCTGACCGTTGTGTATTTGAAAAGTGGGGGAAAAAAGTAACCATGTTGGTGCTCACTCTTCATACTGCTGCAATGCTGATGTCCATGTTTAAGAATGATAATAACACACTGGTTGACAGAAAATCCTAACCATTTACAGACTGCTTTTGTTAGCTTTGCTCCCAAAAAGGATGTTAGTTATTAGGTGGGGAGCTCTGTTGCTGCATATGTGCCTGCGGTACAGGGATTTGATCTACAGTAAACACAAAAAAAAGATATGAAACTAGTCCAGAGTCTTTTAACTAATCATACTCGCCAAAAAAAAAAAAAAAAACATTGTGACCCAAGACTAAGAATTTTATGAGTAGTTGTGTAAAGGATGGCTTCAGAACCCTGTATCTAAATCGTTTAAAGAGTCAAAAGTAAAAATTTTTTAGATTCCTGGAAATTACAGAGGACAACATTTGGAATAAATACACAAAGGTTTCCCCAGATTTATGCCTAAGAGATGCCTAACAAAGCAAGTACACTATTTTCCAGACTATAAGCCGCTACTTTAATTCCCCGCTTTGTACTATCTGGCTTATAAGAAGGTTTTCAGTTGATTTTTCGGAACCACCAGAGGGGGCAGTCAAAGTTGAAAATGAAAAAATAAGGGGCCCATTTTTATTTAGCACAAGAACATTCTAGCAGCAGGCACGGCGAGAACGAATGTTTGTTCTGACATTTATTTTTCGCATTAAAGCTACCAAACCAATGAACAGACTGGGCTAAAGTCCTGCAGAGCTGAAATAGAGCTGATAAAGCCCCGTCTTTCAGTACTAGATATTTGAATGAAGGCATGTCTTATTTTTGCCAAATAACATACCTTATTTGGCAAAAAAATAAAAAACATTAATGACAGGCAACCTTCCAGTAATATTAACTTGAACCCACTGCTAATTCTTGGCATTTGATGCCACATTTGCTTACACTAAGATGACAAAGTCATGAACGCATTTAGGAAAGGAACTTCAACTTCAGGGTTTTTACTTTTGGGGAGCTTTTTAAATCCATCCAACTCCAGGAAAAGTGTTTGGAAGACTTCAAAAGTGTAGCGCAAAGTGTGAGTGTATGCTAAGTTCAGAGCATATATCGGTCCCATGAGCAGCGAGCAGGCATTTGCAGTACTGATGCACCCTGCCAAAATGACTGTCGTCGGGATTACCTCTTGCTCTGTGTGTGATCCTGTAACACCTGGACTGGGAGCAGAATCAGTCCTGCTGTGAGCTAAAGTTTATGTAGTATTCTTAGGTTTATGTACATACTGCTATTAAATATTTCAACAGTATAAGGAAATCTAAGTAAAACTTACTCTTTCCCCAAAATTCATGTATTACATTAAAAAAAGGTTTAATTTAACTTCAGAAACTCTAGTTCTTACTGAAGCTTAAAAAAAGTAGAAATTATGACAAATACTTTACTAGTCCTACTCACACAAGACTAGAGTTTACTGCACCAAAAAGTCACTTTTTTCAGTGTATGTAGAGCTCCCCAACAGGTTTGGTGAGAGACAGTTCAGTAGATATCAGCGGCTTATAGCCTGGTACGGCTTATATGAGTAAGTTTCGAGTTTTTTCAAAAGATTTAGTGAGCGTAGCTTATAGTGAGGTGTGCTTTATAGTCTGGAAAATATGGTACAAAAAAAAAAGGTAGGTTTTAAACAGTTGTGTCAAATGCAGGTGAAAAAAGGGGTCTACACACCTAATTAATTATATTCTTTTTGTGATGGCTCTAAGAATCTGTCTGTATACTGAAACCAGATTCCTGTCTTACTTACTTACTGACACCTTTTCGCCACAGAAACTGCCTTTATATGTTGATTGTTCTAGAGGCCTTATCAATGTAATCGGATCTGGATTGCAGTGGACCAAATGTAGGCGGCTTTAATCTCTTTTAAACCGGTTTAATGTTTTTAAGAAAAAATCCAAACTGCTTTGGTCCATAGATTCTTAACAAGAATGTCTTAAGCTCTCTATTGCAGTTTTACTGGATATTATGAAGCCTGCCATTGTCATATACTGAGAATCAGTCCTACATTATGAAACCTCTTCCAACTTCACTGCTGGTGCAGTTTATTTGGATGATGTGCTACAAAATATGTTATCTTACAACAGTGGATGGAATTATATATTTTTTTTACTTTGGCTTGTCTAAAAAGACTCTACTCTCAAAGCATTGTATTTGCTTTAATAAAAGCCCTGCAAATGATTTTAAATTTGTGTTGTTATGCATTAAAGTACATCATTCTTGTGCAATAAATGTGCTTGTATTAACTGGCACTGATTGGCCAGTATTCAGAATGTTCTTTCAATACAAACACATTTTACTTTTTTATTAGCTTTCTATGACTTTCAGCTTTTTATTCTTATGTTCTCTCTTCAATCTTTTTAAATTTTATTTACCTTTATTACAAATAACCTTAAATCATTGTGTTGTTTTTTTTATATTTTGTTATAACAGTAGCACTATTACCAATACATATAACCTGGATTAAAAAAAACAAAAGTTTTTTGTACTTTTACTATTTTTATTTTTATACCTAGGTAAGGTAATTCTTTTGAACTATTTCAAAGTGCTTCATGAAATGTCATAATTACTGGACGTAAAATAACTTTTGAAGATAAACCTTTAAAGGGTTTCCCCAACCTTTGCCTGAAAGTTGTGGTTACTGCTAAACCTCACAAAAGGACCACACACCTTACTGCGTGATGCAGGCAGCCAGCAGCTCATACAAATTACATCTGCAAGCACAGCTTCAGAGGTGGCCGTCTATTTTTTCAAAACTGGTCATTTCATTATTGCTTAGTTAACCTCTCATTTTTGGATATGACCTGTGACCTTCCTGGGCAGACACACGGTTGACCGTGGCATGTAGGGAGAAGGCAGAGGAACCACACTCTGGGACGGTTCTCACATTGTCTTTAGCTGTTAAAGGAGGAATTTGTCTTTTACTTTCATCCTGAGGGGCTGATGATTTAGATATAACCTTGCATCTGTATAATCTACGCTTTGAGTACAGGACATAATCTTGACATTCTCATTTACTTTATCTTTTTTCATATGGGTCTGATCAGCTCAATGACTCAATATGAGCCATGAAATGAGGCTCATTTCCACCCGGATAGAACGAAGGTCGGTCAGCTCTGAACCAGCTATGCCTTCGTTAATTAAGAAAAATCGTTCAAATGTTACTCCACTACATTTACTCACTAATCTAATAAACAAAGTCAATATAGTGCTCTTAGAAACAGCTATATTTTTGAGGAGTGACCTATTCGGCTTTCAACCTTGTAATGCTTTGAATGTGGCTTGTGCGTCAATCTGTTCCCATATACAGAACATTGATGTAATAGAAAGGAAAATAAACCTTATCTTAAAAGTGTTTATTTATTTTAAAGACAAATAGCACCTTGCTGGTTCTACTAAATTTGCCCATTTTGGTAATCAGGAAATAAATTATTGACCTAGGCTATGGGTCTATTTGTCCTTTGGCAATTCATGCCTGCATTTTGCTCCTATACTTCCTAGGAAGCATTATTCTATGAGTATGGTTTGTTCAGCAGGGACAGGTAAGGATAAGGATGGAAGTAGTTACATGGAAATCCAACTAAAAACCCACAAGTGTCTGCAAAAAACTTGAAGTTGGGGCGGAGGTTTATTGTCCACCATCAAGCCATATTCAGTCAAAACCTAAATACAAATTAAAATCTTTTACAAGATTTGAGAATATATCACCACAGACACCTTCTATCCAATTTGACTGAGCCTGGGCTAACTTGTAAAAAATAAAGGGTACTAGCACTTTTTTGTATGGCTTAATGATTTTCCTATACATTGTTTTCATGTTTTGCATAAGATACAGTCTGTAAGAAGTGAATGGTGGAAGATAGTTCATTTTTTCCCTAAAAAGTCAGGCATGAATTATCCAAAACTGCATAAGTATAAAATATCTAAGGAGCACAAAATGACCAGCATAAAAATGATAGAACATTATATCTGGGAAGCTAAAATTAATATAGTTTAACAAAAATATAACAATTAAATTCTGGGGTTTTTTTTTGTTTTTTTTTTGTGTGCAGCAATTGGAAAACTTTTAGTTGTTGTAAAGTTAGCTATAAAACTTCCTAAATCAGCCTATGAGAGACATTAGATTTGCCACTAGAAGATCAGTGGTTACATTTCAGAAAAGGGATTGTTTGTACTGACTCAAATCATATAGAAAACCAGCTGAAGCAGCCCAGAGGGAAGCCGACATAGTTCTTTGGTGAACTCCTGACGTCTGGGTGGGCGCCAGCTCTGAATTGGGATCAGATCTATCTGAGAGACGTCTGGAGTTCTCTTGACAAGAAGAACCGTGTTCCTGAATTCTCTTTTCGTTCTGTGCCAACCTCTGTGTGCTCTTTGGCCCATTATAAATCAATTACAGGCGTTCAAAGTGACTCCGACTACCATACAATCTGCCCTTGATGAACAACAGCAGAGACAGAGGAAGTGAAAGTGTGTGCATGCATGAGCACATATGACCCCTCTTAATGCAGTCTACTTTAAACAAACCTGTGCAGCCTGTTTCTCAAAAGGACTGCTCATTTTTTACTCATTAATGGGGGGGAAGAGAAAGCTGTGCTGACTGTTCAGCGGAGATAGACTAATTCGTTTCGGACCGCATCAAGCATGGAAAGGCACCTACATTAGCATCATTTAGAAGGTGCGCATTTATAGAAATGTCAGACTTAGAGAGCTGGAAATGATTAAAGTTGTGACTATGCCACATCACGTTGAGAAGGACAGAGTTGGTATTTGATTATTAGTGCGATTTAGCAGAGCTCTTCTGCTGATAGGGACAAACTGAAAATGAAATCCAACAACAAGAGGTAAAAATCTGCATTTTTTTTCCTTGTAAAAGGACTCCAGTGCAAGCCTCCCATAGCTTCTATAAAGTCCGCCTACCGATGTGGAAATAAGCAGCACTGGGATACTTGTTGTATTTGGCCAAATTGGAAGCTCTATTCCAGGAATTTCATGTATTTCAAACCTTTTGCCCACAATTCTGCAGGGGGGGGGGGGTTAACACACAGTCACATTCATCTGCTAATCACAAAGAAGAGAAAATGCATACCCGTGGTCCCTGATCACCTTGATCTCCCTGCAAAAAAAGCAGAAAAAAACCTTGTCTCAGATCTGAGGGGGAAATATACAGAAACACATGGATAAACACAGTAATGCAGCATTAAGCTGAGACTCACACCAAAATCACTCAGGCATAATTCAGAACATATCGATAAAGTGAAATAATACAGGAACCCTCAACTATTCATTGCGGTTGGGAGTAAAATCACTTATGATAACATGGAATGACATGAATGGGGTATGCGAGAAGGAGAGAAGAAGGAGAGCAGTGGTGTGAGGTTTTGGTGAGGGGGCGGGTGGAAACCGCATTAATGCCAGATTTATTTGCCCCAGAGATCTTCTGGCTGTCTGCCTTTACCGGGGGTGAATGTCTTTGGACTGAGGCCGGCTCCGAAGGTTAGAAAATTTGGATTCATGTCAGCATGCCAAAGACTGTGGCTTTATCACATTAGAGTTAACCCCAAACAAAAGCACATAGATGCTTAAAATAAATGACAAACCTAATGGGTGTACAATCAGATAAATGAGCATCTTCAAACTGTCTTGTTTAATTAGATTCGATCTGCAGAAATGTAATAAGACGAGCGAGTTATCACGCACGTATGGGGATTTTACTCAAAACAAACCTCCCTGCAATGCCTGTGCAATTTCAAATAATAACAGTTCTTGGAATTTTTGTAATTTTTCATTGAGCTATTTTGCCAAAACCAAATTAAATGGGAAAACAGTTGCGAATGACCAAGGAGACAAACCCTTTGTTCCTCCTGGGTGGGAAAGGGAGCACACAATTGTTTTGAATTTCATTAAACTGCAGATGAAGTAGTTTATATGAGAGGAGTAGACACCAGTTTATTCAACGGGACCCCACAGTTCATGGCTTTCAAAACAAATGTTCAACAGTTGTGAAAATCTGATAGTGAGAGTCAGACCATTTTGCTCAGAAAATACAAAAGAAGAAAAACATTGTGTTGATTTATGATGCTGGTCAGTAAGAAACTGGGAGCATCTTTCTACAAACTGCTTTAGAAGAAGCAGTGACAGAAGTGAAGACTTTTCTCAACTTTATCCCTGACGAGTCTAGTGCATTCATTGGTCTTCAAGTTTATTTTCCAATGTTGTCTAAAGGTGCACGCATACTGCGTGCAATTCCAACATGAAAGTTGCCGGTTACCGGTGCTGTTTTTTGCTTAACATATCAGCAGCAATCTGTGTGTTGTGTAATAAGCACAACTCCTTTAGTCCACTGGGTCATAGAATAAAAGTTGCCTGTATCTCCTGCTTACTGTTTTTAATTCATGGGAGCTGGCTCGGAGCTCATCTGCATGGCTGTGTGTTTCCTGGATGTGGCCGCCTTTTATAACTGCTTTTTGTATCTCTACTTTTGTCTCCTTGAAACCCCAGTCGGCCTTGGCAGATGGCCGCTCACACTGAGCCTGGTTCTGCTGGAGGTTTCTTCCTGTTAAAAGGGAGTTTTTCCTCTCCACTGTCACTACCAGCATGATTAGTGTGAGGGATTGCATTGGAGTCAGTGAGTCAATGCAATCAACTGGTTTTCCTTAGATAGAAAACTGAATCAATTTGACTGAATGATCTGGTTGAACTGTAAAGTGCCTTGAGATGACTTGTGTTGTGAATTGGTGCTATATAAATAAACTGAATTGAGATTGAACTGAACTAAACATGGTTAACCTGGATTTTACAAAGCAAGTTTTGGAGCCTTGTTTTAATCAGAAACCAATACTATGCCACTTCAGGGAGGATTTTCTTAACAACAGAGGTAAGGTGAGGTAGCATTCTGGAGCTCAAACAGTAACAGCGGTAACCTGACTCCACCAGATGGATTTGCTCCGCATATCCATCTGGAAACCTTTCGTTTAAGTAATTTTGGGAAGGGGCGAAAATACGGGTTAGCTGATTGGCCTATGTTGGTGATAGATGGGCCAAATAAACCAATCAGATCAACGAAGCATTGACGTACTAACAGAGCGAGCCAATTGATAGATCAAACTCTTACCGAAACCAGTTGGGAGAAGAGCAAAAACATCTTCTCCTCTGAGAAAAGCCTCCAGAGCAGTGTTTTGCTCTTCTTTCAGTGAAGAAATACTGTGTAATTCCGATAAAACTTGCTCGATAGCCACGCTAACGCTAGTTTCATCGGCTGAAGCCGCCATGTTCTTTAGACTGAACTGTCGCGCTTCTCGTTGCGTCACACCTCAACCCGCCTCAAAGCCAACACTGATTGGACGTTCGTTTGGTGAACGGCTCCCAATTTTCTTTAACGGAGAGTCTCCAGACTGATCTGCGAGTGAAACCTTGAAAGCTTGCGAGATCAGGATGGTCTCACGAGGCTATAACAGCGGAGGATCTTAGTAAGAACCCAGGCACCTGAGTGCACCTTAGTGGAGCAGAGGCATCTAGCTATGCCCCACTCTGGAAGATAGCAATAGATTGGAGCGCAAGATGCTTACATGCGTTCATTGCATCATTTACATCTCAACGTTCTTGAACATGCCTGTACATAGGGATAAAATGCTAATCGATTGCTTGAAAGCGACAATAGCTCCAAAAATATACATACATGCTTTTTTACAAGAGAAAATCTGAAACGTGTCATAAATATGATCAACTACATATACATCTATAGCTGGAAAAGTGTTAAAGAACTTTTAATTACTTTAATTATTTAGAGTAGCGCATTAAGCCTTTATACTTTTGTCCTAAGAAGTGCTTTCAACTTAAATGTAAACATAACCCTAGTTTGTACCACATTATTTTGCAGATTTGATTAATGTTTGTGTCATTCCACAGACCTGCTCTCTGTCCCAAGACCTTGAGAGCTGTCAAAACGCTGTGTGGTTATTTTGCACGCTTCATTGTTGTTTTATGGAGCATTGCGCATTGAGGCATTTGAGGGTTTCAACTTGCATGGGACTGTGGTTTTTTAACACTCTGTGCTCTGCATTTGTGACCCTAAGAGAGGAATGTTAACACTAAAATCCTAAGGTCAGGTCGACCTAAATTCATGCTAAATGGAGCAGATGCAAAATTACATCGTCTCTGGACCCGAAACATACTGGACTTCCTTGGACATCTTTGTTATAGCTCAGGCAAGACAGTCACTGTACTCATTTATATATATTATATTTTTTAGATTTTAGCGAATGTGATTTCTCTCCATCTAAACTGAAGTTTTTGCTTTGATTAGCACTGCTCAGGAAACTTTTTCCCTAACTGGGGTCCATACTGTAGATTGCTCCTTCTTAAACACTCCTGCTCCCCCTACTCATTGTACAAATTGGGAGAATTGCAGTGCTGCACAGCATTGCATGCAAATAATCAAGTTCCACCATTTAACATAAACTTCAGGCTGGAGTCATGTTAGCAGCTCATCTTAATGGGCAAATGGCTTCTTGCCTTTTTGAGCATTAGCACAGCTAGAAAACTGTTTTAAGTGTTTTAAAAGGCATTAGGTCTGTCCATTAAAACCAATGACAAGATATGGGATAATTAGCATTTCAAATTAAAACATAAATGTACTCACCTTTTCACCCTGTGGACCTGGAGGACCCTAAAATGACACAGAAAACATTTTTTTTTATATTAAGCTGAAGATATGAAAGAAAGAAAAATACACAGAGGAATACTTATGAGTTTATTGTCATTATTATCCTTCAACTTGCCAAATGTTACCTACAATTTGTTGGCTTTGAATAAAATCCAAGTAAAATACATTAAGGTTTGTGGTCAAAAATGCTACAAGGTTTAAAATACAGGAACACTGTATTTTTGTAAGACACTGTGGCTCAGTATCTCTATTAAATATCTTTTTTTGAGGATATGGTTAAAATATTTTTTCACAGACTTTTTGTACTGTAGACAGCAGAACTTATACAATAATGTAATAAAAACATAAAATAGATCCAAATCAAATCTTTACCAACATGACATAATTTGACAATCACTTACTAAATATAATCAACCATGAGTAGAGGTGGGTATCTATCTATCTATCTATCTATCTATCTATCTATCTATCTATCTATCTATCTATCTATCTATCTATCTATCTATCTATCTATCTATCTATCTATCTATCTATCTATCTATCTATCTATCTATCTATCTATCTATCTATCTATCTATCTATCTATCTATCTATCTATCTTCTATCTATCTATCTATCTATCTATCTATCTATCTATCTATCTATCTATCTATCTATCTATCTATCTATCTATCTATCTATCTATCTATCTATCTATCTATCTATCTATCTATCTTTTGGTAATTTTATTGGTACAGACAAAATTCCATCATAACCACAAGAACCAATTCATTTAAAATGTTTTTTTTTTTCAAACAAATTTTCTAAATGCATCATAATGACAGAGAGGGAGTGGAAGATTGGTCGGTTTTCTATGGCGGACATGAACGTAGCATTGGTCGCACGAGAGCATGATGAGATCAGAAGGTCCTGCTGCTGTAGACAAATTAAGCAAGGCTGAAAGAAACCGCTTGAGAGGAAGTATCCACTTTCAAAAATGTGATGCAGATTACACTACTGCAATATTTGTGGAGCGAAGTACAAGGCCAGCAGTGGGAATACTTCAAATCTAAGAAAGTATCCATTTAATTACAAGATTTTTTCCAAGTGTGCACGATTTTCAACAACCTCAGGTCTGCAGCTACAACTCTTGCATTCAGCATCGTTAACATCCGTTAGCGGCTTGTGATCTGCATCCAGCAACAAAAGAAAGCAGCAGCATCACGTTTGTGTACTTTTGTAAAAAAAATACATTGTTTTAGATGATATTTCCATTGGTACCAAAAATAAGTATTGTTAAATACCGGCATGGAGTCCTAGACAGCTCGCATTAGTATTGTAATGCTTCAAATGTAAGCTGTGCACATCCCTAAAAGTGAATGGAAATACAGCATATAATAGAGAAATAGAGCTCTCTTTTTTCACAAATTTTTTTTCTTTTCTTGAAGCAGTTCTGCATTTAGCTTGTGAGTCAGATCACAGCAACTGGGCACTGCGAAGGTCCAGGGTCAGAAGAGACAATTTGACACTGAGCTCTGCATCCATATAGATGGTTGTTAAAAAACAGTAACTTTAGCAGTGAAGCGGAAAGGTGAACCCCACAATGGACTGTTCTACCACTCTAAGATGATAGTGGAGGGAGGAGGATGCCTGCACTGAATAAACATTTTTGAGACACTGATGTACAGAAAGCTAAGGAGAGATGTTATTCTATCTATATTTAAATATTCTAATGCAAATAGTATGTATATATATATATATATATATATATATATATATATATATATATATATATATATATATATATATATATATATATATATATATATATATATATATATATATATATATATATATATAAAGTAGAGGTTGTACAGCTGCTCTCAATGCAGTGATGGCCAAGAAGTTCTTACTTTTCTGTTTGACAGAATTGCGTAAATTGATGACATTAATGTAATTATTTTAATTGGTTTCCTTGACTCAACAGACCCAAAATTGCAGGCTTATAGATACAGTTAGGCTTAAAATGCACTGGCACACATTTATGCAGTCTAAAACCTAGATGCAGAGGTAGCTAACCAGTTTCTCACCTACTGCTCAGGAGAGAAGACACAGTAGCCAGGTTTCTGCCTTTTCTCTGGCACTGCAAATTATTTTTATACTTTGCCTACTATCTCTAGATTTTTGCTGGTATATAAATATATATATATATATATATATATATATATATATATATATATATATATATATATATATATATATATATATATATATATATATATATATATATATATATATTTGCCTTGTCCATGAGGTTGTGAACCTGCAGTGCAACTTAATGTGGTGAATCAGCACATAAATGAAAAGTTTCAGGTTAAAACAAGCAGATTTGAAAAACAGCTTAAAACAGCAACGTGTTCCATGAGGTGGTCCCGCTGCTTGGTACTTGACCAGCGATATAAAGACTAACAACAGCCCTTGTAAACATAAATTGTACTATTGTAAAAAACAATGTTTCCGATTGTGGTTTCTCTTGGAGGGAATAAAAAAAAGTCAACAAGCTGAAGTAAATTGGCCCTTTTACATTCATACTGATGTTGGGGCATTCCAAAAAAGCTAAATAGGTTTCCAGTGTTTTCCTAAACGTTGAATTGAGTTGAGATTTTACCTGAGCATGGAAACTGGCTTAGAAGCAATACTGGCCAACAGACAAACTATTACTACAAACGTGAATTTTAGCTGCAAAGAAGCACACACTCAAACTAAATACTGCCATCCAAGTAAATCAGATAAGTAGCCTACCGCTCTTCACATGTAAAACACCTTCTTGCCTAAACCATTTCTGTTGTTTAAGAAACTTGCACAAGAAAAAAAGCTGTTCTACTATGAAAAATGTAAACATATGGAGTTTACTAAACTTTGGGTTAGATGAAATGAACACAGAGGTTTTCTGCATCCACTGAAGTGGGACAACATGAAGAAAACAATAATATCTAGAAAAGAGGCACATACAAACCGTTAAATACGGTGCAAGATATATAATGGTGTGGTCAGGTTTTTTAAAAAGCCTTTTGGCACTGGGTTCATGTTTATGGTTAAAATTAACATTTTGAAATACAAGGATAAGTCAACAACACCTTGAGAGCCTATATCGCAAACTTTTTGAGGCCGTGGAAACCCACCCATCAGGCAAATTTCAAGCCACCTTTGAAAATCTCCATCAAATGTGGTATATATCAAGGAGATGCTCTGTCCAAACATTTAACAAGACACCACCAGGATCTACGGCACCAACATAGGAATGTCATTAAGGCTGGAGAAATGTGGCCGGATGGTGAAAAAGAGAGAAAAAGTAATCCACACAAAAGGGTCTTTATTGCATCTCTATTCTTTATTTTTTACATATTCACTGTATTTTATTAAATAACATTTAATTGTATATTTGTTTTTGCCTGACCTTGTATACTAACTTCTTTGTTGCACCTTTTCCTTGTTTTAAAACTCCTGTTGTTTACTAGAGCCGATGTTACAAGTTAATTTCTCCATTGTGAGATCAATGAAGACCTATTTTATCTCATGCTATCTAATCTTGTTGAGGAGAGCCTGGGATACCACAGGCAAATGGCAACCATGAGGAGCTCAAAAGGAAAGCAGTAACAGCCAAATACCTTACGAGTAAGGCGAGTTCTGAGACGTCAGCCTTCATTTCATTCTTTTCTCCATGTGCCTGTATGACCTGGGAGAAATGGACCCCGCATGCTCCTGATGACGGATGGTCTTCTCAGGGATATCCTCCCAGACCTGGACTAAAGCATCCGCCAACTGCTGGACAGTCTACGGTAAAACATGATGTTGGTGTATGGATCGAGACATGATGTCCGAGACGTGCTCGATCAGATCAGGTCTGGGGAACGGGTGGGCAATTCCATAGCTTTATTGCCTTAATTTTGCAGGAACTGCTGACACAGTCCAGCCCCATGAAGTCTAGCATTGTCCTGCATTAGGAGGAACCCATGGCCAACTGCACCAGCTTATGGTCTCTTAAGGGGTCTGAGGATCTCATCTCGGTAACCTAATGGCAATCATGCTACCTCTGGTGGGCACATAGACCGTTGTTGGACCCTAAAAAGAAATGCCACCCCACACCATTACTGACCCACTGCCAAAGTGGTCATACTGAAGGATGTTGCAGACAGCAGATTGCTCTCCGCGGTGTCTGCAGACTCTGTCATATGTGGCCATTTTGCCGATCCTGGTCTTCTCCGGCAAATACCAAGTATTCTGTACATTGTTGGGCCATGAGCATAACCACCATCTACTTACACAGATGGGGGAATTTCGCCCCCTTCTGTGGATGTAGGGCCTTCATGCCATCCTAACGGAGCCAGTTTCTAACCGTTTGTGCAGACACCTGCACATTTGTTGCTTGTTGGAGGTCAATTTGCAGGGCTCTAGTGGTGCTCCTCCTCTTCCTTCTTACACAAAGGCTGAGGTAGCGGTCTTGCTGGTGTACTGGCCTGTTTCCTGGTAGCGCCTCCAGCCTCTGGACACTACGCCTGCAGCCTCGCAATCTTTCTTGTCACAGCCTGCATTGATGTGCCATCCTGGATGAGCTGCATGACCTAAGCCACTTTTGTGGGTTGAAGAGTCTGTAGAATCTCATTCTACCACGAGTGGAAACCACCTCCAACATTCAAAAGTGACCCAAACATCAGCCAGAAAGCATAGGTACTGAGAAGTGGTCTTTGTTCCCACCCGAAGAACCACTCCTTTATTGAGTATGTCTTACTAATTGCCAATAATGGTCACCTGTTCGCAAATCCATTTGCACAATAGCATGTGACATTGATTGTCGATTAGTGTTGCTTCCTAAAAATACAAAAGAGAAGGTCAGTACTGTAGTAGGTGCTGCAGCACAATGAGGGTAAATACCCAACATTTTAGGTAGAAAACTTAATGTAAAATAGTACAGCTGCAAAAAACAATAGAGATCCTACTCTAGTTGTCAGCTCTCAACCTTTGTA